GCCCTAGCTTCAAATTTTTATGCCCTTCCTTATACAAAAAGTATCACTTCCTGCAACACGAGGCTCTTCCAGAACCTTCCTTCAGACCCAGTGTTTCTCTTCAAATTTTTCCAGCTCCGTTTTTGACGTCTTTGCTGCTAGTCGCTTTCTCAAACTTGTTTTATTAGTTATTGCTTTTTTCTTTTATTTTTTCAAAGCCATTTTTTAAACACTTCCAACTGCTTTGTTCCTTATCACTTATAAAGATGGTTAATATGCTTAATTTTAGCACAAGGCAAAATTAAACTCTTTCTAAATCACATATAATTGCCTTTGCTATTCTCAATTTCTACCCTCTTTTCTCTGCTCAAGCTTCTTAAAGCATTGCTTACAATGCTATCACTTTCAATTCAGTTTTAACCTACTGTAATCTGGCTTCCTTTCCCCTTCCTGTCTTGGAACTGAACAGCGTCAGTAACCTCCACATTTTAAGATGTGAGAATAATTTTCCATTTTTCATCAATGCCTCTCCATCCCACCTTCCTACTTTGAACCTCCAGAACTCTGTTTCAGGCTCGACTCTGAAACTTTTCCTGTTCTTTTCCTCCTACAAACAAACCTCAGAGTATTAGCTTTCTTCCCGCACATCCTGGCAGCTGCCACTATTCATTCCATGCTTTGAGATTCTCTGCTCGAGTTCATGGTGGACCCAGCCTCCCTGGCATCTGTTCTTGTTTATCTCCTCAACAGTCAATTTGGCTTTCATTTATGCTGTTTTTGTTTTTACTATTCATTCACTGTGTGATTCTCACTGTAAGGGTTTTACTGACAGTGTTTGCAGAAATATGTGTAGCACTGAGCATGCTGCCTCCCCACCTACCCCTCACAGCCGGATAATCCCTATTTATCCTCAGAGCAAATTGAAATTCTCCACAAACTTCTGAATCTTGCCCCCTCTGCAGAATGAATGGGTTCCATCATAAGTGAACACAGGGCACGCCCCCTGCTCTTTTCCCTTCTTAGTCTGTAACTGCATATCTTTGTCTCGACTCCTTCACTGGTAGGGATACACATGACCACACTTATTTTAACAAGTCACTTGCTCTTTGCACAGTGTAAGAAGGTGATATTAGCTGACCAATAAATGTGATATGAATTCATGAGGGATTACCTGATCGAACTCTGCAGCCCCTGCCGGGATTGTACTTGCCAGGGTCATTGTCTGTAACTAGACCTCACGTCTGTAAGTTTCAGCATCACACAGCCAACCTCTTCCCTACACATTTCTATCTGAATGTGACACCTCAATCTCTACATATCATTTATTTTTTGAAAAGAATGAAAGGAACAACTGAAAAAAACACAGGCTCTATATTGAGTTTGTATCTCTCTGCTACCCATGCCTAGGAATTGATAACTCGGTTCATGACACAACCTCATTTGATGTGGCAGCAACTTGGATGAATCTGTCAACACCTGATTAGTCATAAAATCATGTAAAATCATGTCCATGTTCTTCTTACATGACTTAGAGCCTGTCTTCACCTCTGTCATTATTTTTAGTTTGTTTACTTTTCTCTATCCATAATTGTGTCTTCCTTCCTAAAAGGTTTATCAGTCTAAAATATGGATTGGAGCATTAACTCTTCAGTTCTTTAATGAACCATTAAAGGCAATTCTTCAAAAATCTAGCCTGATGTGGTCCAAGTACACAGTTTTCTCGGGCGCTCGTTTACATGATGAATAATAAGGAAGGTTTTTTTTTGTTATTTATCATGCCTTTACTTTTTGTGTCTGGGTATCTCTCTCTGTTAGAAATGAGGATTGCTCAAGTCAAGTTTGGTCAAGATTGCCCATCTAATAAGTGGTGAACCCAAGACTGAAGATAGACCCGAAGTTCATGCCCAAATTCTTCCTCTAACCGTTACAAGCCACAATAATTTCCCCAAACGCCTTGTCTTTTCCTGACTCATTGACTTTAGCCCTGCAGGCCCCTCTTGCGATAATATCTCATCTTCCTCCCCTAACTGAGGCAAGAAGTTATCTTACTTAGTCCTCAAACTATCTACTTTTACTTAGTCTCAAAACTTTCTAGACTAATGTCATTGCTGCCCTGACCCTGTGTTTCCAAATCACTTGGCACAGATGTCTTTTATATCATCTCATTATATTATAGGAGGGTTTTTGGTAAATAAATCTTTTTCTACCACTAGGTTAATAAGATCTGAAGGGTAATCGTTTTCCTTACTCATCATTCTGCCTGCTGTTACCTGCACAGCACCTGGCGCATAGTTTATTGAGCTAAATAAAAAAAAAAATTATTCTTTAAATTTCTTTTTCTTTAATTCCTTGAGGTTGTTTTTATTTTTAATTCTGAATTGGTGAATTTACGCTGGCTACAGAAGGCATAAAAACCACTACATAATAAGTTACTTAAAACACTGGAATAATCATAAGATCCAAAATGTTATAGAATGTGCCATTGTTTTATGAGTCATACTATTCAATTCATGGGAAACATCACATTTCCAGTATATTTATTTATTCATTTGCATTTTTAACATCCTGCCTTGTTCCGAAAGAATTTCAGGCAGTTTATCAAAAAAAAATGCATGTACTTAAATTATCATTAAATAAAATATAAATAAAAATGGAGATAAGGATGAAGGAGAATAAAACCAAGTATGTCGACTTTGGGCCAGCGCCTTAGCTACAGTCCATAGCTATAATACTTGAGTTTCAAATTCCAAGCTTCTTGACGACCCAAGTAACACATTGGGGGAGGGCAGAATTATTTTTCATTGGCCAATAAATTGGACATAAGCACTTTCTCAGAGAAAACCTTTTCTGAGACCTTACACTGAAATCTCTTTGACCAGAAACAAAATATCTTGTGGGTTTTCTATCAGGGAAAGCTGGGTTCGGTAGCAAGTAATGTCAGATTTTCCCCAAGAAATGCGGTAATGAATTTCATATTGATGTTTTTTGTAGTCCCCTCCAATAGAAGCTGAAGGCATTCCATTAACACACAACTCAGGGAAAGCAGTTCTTCAGGGAGCTAAGCTAATATGGGCCAAGTGTGTAACCTTCTCATGGCCCAGTTTAATCCAAGACCAGACTTTAGGGTATTCAGAGAAGTGGATGGACTGTGTAACCTTCAAACGATCTTCTGTAAGGATCACTTTTCTCAAGATGGTTAGCAGACAGTTGACAATGGTATTATCTGACTAGGGAGCATGTTGTTATTTTACAAGTAATGGGCTTTCTGGTAGCCACAATAACTGTAAAAAGGCAACATGGTATGTCAGGAAAAAAATGTAGATTTTCACTTTGCGGACTGGAGATTTCTCTGAAGCTTGGTATATTTAGTGTTTAATATGAGAGCCCAGTCCCTGAGATTCTTGCCAACCCTGAGACCACGTGATGGTCATTTTCATTCATATGCTGGGTTGCTGGACCAGGAGAGGTCTGTACGTGGATTTTGGCTAGAACATTTGTTCTAGTTCTAGCACATTATTTTCTCTGCCACTCAAGGGAAGCAAACATCGTTTTGACACTATGATAAAAGACATTTTCATTTCTATCATCAGGAGTTTTCCAGGCTTGACATTTTAAATGTATACCCAGAGACTCCAAAAAAATAATAAACTTAAAATCTTCAGAAGCCTAGAAAACATCGTTTAGAAACATGGGAAACATCCCATTTCCAGTATATTTTATGTTTTATAGTTCCAGTATATTTTCCAGTATATAGAAAATCAATTAATGTGGGTTCAATTCCCTTTTCATTCAACCTTAGTAACAAATGAACTGTCAACAAACTGTGTAACAAAATAGCTTACTAGGGCGGTGCCTGTGGCTCAAAGGAGTGGGGCGTTGGCCCCATATGCCGGAGGCCGTGGGTTCAAACCCAGCTCTGGCCAAAAACTGCAAAAAAATAAAAATAGTTCACTATTCTTTCCTCCAGATATTATATAAAATATGTCACTTATTTATTTTGTTGATGTCAGGTCCTCACCCCTTTTCATGAATTTCAAACATGTAAAACAACTTCCAGGGGTATTATTTTTTAATTTAGAGTCTATTTTATTTGTTCCTAGTAGTCCACTCCTATAGAAGGCAGGATTGAGGACTTTCAGAACAATTACACAATGAATTGTAGGATAAGCTATTCAATTCTATCAGTCTGATAAAACATTCATTTAGAGTCTATTTCTAAATTCTCTTACCCTTTCTATGTGAATACACATTTTTGTCATAGTACCCGCCATTCATTTTCCCTTAAGCCAGTGTTTCTGAGCCTGCTCTGAGCAGGGCCTGTGCTAGGACCGGGGTCCCCAGTCGGTGCCTTCAAGGATCTTACAATGAAGTGAAAGAAAAAGAGAGAGAAGTGAAGAAAATGCAGACTTGTGTCTTTGCAGAGGCAAGCGGGGGAGAAGAGCTACCGACTGCAGCCGTGGGCGGTGGTGTCTCAGTGGTTGTGACTCAGGGCTGAGTCAGCGTTGGCCTGGAGAGGGAAAGGAGATAAAAAGGGACGTGACTCGGAACCAGTGCGGGTTAATTAACACTTCCTGACCGGATTGTGGTAGCACTTACAGGTTATAGAGCACAAATGGATTCAGAGTCTGGCAGGAAGTGGGAGGGCAGGGAGCAGAGTACATTTCTGGATTTTGATGTTTTTATTACCTGTGGGACATGCAGGCGGACGGGGCTAGGGAATGAAGTGGTGGAGAGTTCTGGAGAGACGCTGTGTCCGTCATCCATGTGTAGATATCAAAAGCCGTAAGGGTTGCCTGAAAGTGATGGAAAATATCAGTGTCACGTCGCCTTCATTTCCCTTATTTTCTTTCCAATTGATTCCATTCCCAGCTTTTAACATTCCTTTTTTACTTTTTACTCCTGAAACCCAGTCTGTATGTGTGTATATTTGGGGCTTTCCCTGGCCTCATTCTTCAAATGCTATGAAGTGGCCCATCTCAGTCCCTTAAGGAAGAAATGCAATGTTAGATTAGACCGTAGGAAATTAAGTAGTAAGAATTATCAGAACTTTTATAGTTCTCAAAAGCAGCAGAAATATAAGAATATGAGCATTAAAAAAAAATTCCTTCATAGCGGTGAGTACTGCTTTAAACAGTTAATGTAACAACAGGTTTCTTTGAGTTATTTCTCTTCAAGGGTCTTTATTTTTTTACAGTAAATAAAATCAGTGTGAAAGGGTCACTATCATCTGGTCCAAATATCCAGCCTTCTGATGGTCTGGCTTGATCCCAGGCAGGCATGATATACAAAGAGGTCACAGCTATAAAATTTATGTCAGCAGAGTTCTTTTTAAAAGCAGTTGGTAGTGACCAGGACAGGGTAACATTTTTCAGGGGATGGTTTAGAATGCAGATATTCATGGGTACTACCACTAACAAATCTATGCTTTATAAAGAAAATTAATGTATTATGTGAACTTAATCTGTAGACTCAATTTTAAAATACTATACAGTTGTTAAACATGAATTCAACAGAACTTATTCTCTAGACACATGATTTTAATTTTAAATGAAAGGGGAACATTTTACTGTGGTTATTATTTTCAGATGAACTGAGAGGAGTTATTTTCTCCTTTAAAACAAGACTTTGTCAGCGTCTCATCCAGAAAAGCTTATGGTGCTGTAGGTAGGAATAGAGATGAGATAGCACTGCAGGGAGACCAGGCCCTATTTTCGATAAATTGGTAAGGAATTAGAGATGCAAGCCTCTGAGTTCTTAAATAAAAATAGAACTTATGGCTATTGTAATTTGCTTACTACTGGTCCTGAAAATAGTAAAGTTTCCTCATTCCAAGGGAGCATTTTGAAGTCAAAACTATTGTCTTGTTGGGGCCAGGCACGGTGGCTCATGCCTCTACTCCCAGCACTTGACCAGCCTGAGCCAGAGCGAGATCTCATCTCTAAAAATAGCCGGGCATTGTGCTGGGCGCCTGTAGTCCCATCTACTTGGGAGGCTGAGACAAGAGAATCACTTAAGCCCAAGAGTTTGAGGTTGCAGTGAGCTGTGACGCCAGGCACTCTACCAAGGTGACACAGTGAGATTCTGTCTCAAACAACAAACAAACAAACAAACAAACTATTGCCCCTCTGAAGACTGCAGTATATTCAGAGGATATACTTTAGTTTCAATAATGAAAAGAAAATAAGATAAATGTTGTTCTTTATAAACCAAGTCAATAAAACAGACAAGCATCAGAATTATTTTAATGCTGCTTTTCATAGTGTCCACAGTGTTAGGGTGAAATGAAAAATGGCAGCAGAACAAACAGGTAGAGCCGGTGTGTGGCTGGTCCTCACAGCTGCACCCCTTCTGGTTACTTGCAGCTGGTGTTCATTTGGATCAGCATGTTCTGATTGATCTGTTCTGATTAGTTGATTCCTCAGCTCTGAAGTTTGGTAAACATTTTGTACCTATATTACCTGTGCATATACTGTGTGTGCAATTGAAGGGCATTCAAGTGGGGGTCAAGAAGATGTTGATGAGAATTAGTACAAAGTTTCTATCTGTAGACTCCTATTGCACAGAGACATTGACATTTCATGTTTCTTTTTTTCCACGTGGCTAAATCTTAAATCATAATTCCTGATCCAACTCAAATGTCCCACTTTCACAGAAACCGTCCTTGAGTATTTCCACACAATGCTGTGTCTTCATCTTCCAGAACACAATGAATTCTGTTGGTGCACATCTCGGACCCCGGGAATCAGTGTCTAGCCCGTCTAGCTGCGATGGTCACTCGGCTGTTAGGAGGATGTGTGTTTCTCGCCCTAATATATTCTGTGCATTGGCTCATTTCTTTATCACAGCAGGTCGATATGGCTTGGGTGTTGTTATCTCCCTTTTATCAAGAAACTAAAGCAGGGAGATGTTAAGAAATCTTCCTCAGGCACAGATTCTTTATAAGTACAACGTTTATTTTTTAAGAGACAGGGTGCCCAGACTCAAATTCAATGACATGACCAGCTTACTGTAAGTTTGAGCTTCTGGGCTCAAGGGATCCTCCTGTCATCACCTTCTGAGTAGCTGAGACTACAGGCATGGCACATACCACCATGTCCAGCTAATGTCATTATTTTTTTGCTGGGGAAAAGGGTCTCACTGTATTGCCTAGGCTGATCTTGAACTCCTGGCTTCAAGAGGGCTCCCACCTTGTCCTTCAACTGATCACAGGAACTCAGCCAATAAGGGAAACTTGATATCATGTCATATAATATGTATGTTTGGTTGAAATAGTAATATAAACACAAAAGCCTATATATGAGTTAAAAAGTCCTTTCTGAAGATTGGCCCCATGATATAAACCCCAACAGAAATATTTTGAGAAATGATACTCCCATGTTTTAACAGCTTCCTTAGACAAAAAGTCACAAAGCCTGATGTTTAGAAGTCGAAGCTTAAAAAGCCAGACACATCTAAGTTTACAAGCTTTTTCAGCCATTTGGTGGACTAGAGACCCTGGTCAAGTCCACAGACTTCTTTAGCTTTCGTTTCTAAACTTCCATGGTGGGGTTAATAATGGAACTTAACTTAGCAGGCACCGATGAGGTTTGTCAGAGCTGCCTCCCTGGGTTTGACTCTCAACCTAACACATTCCAGACCTCAAAAGGTGGTAGCTATCATCTCCTTAGCAGGAGGGAGGGCGATGGGTGGGACCACACCTATGGGCCGTCTTACAAGGGTACGTGTGAATCTTTCTAAATGCAAAATATAAATGTCTTAACACAGTAACTAAGAAAATGCCATGAAGGCTGTGTTAACCAGTTGGGTGAAAATATTTCAGATTGTATATAAAACCAGCACACTATACCCCATGACTGCATTAATGTACACAGCTATGATTTAATAAAAAACAAACAAACAAAAATCCAGTTATCTACTGCAGACTCTCCCTCTTCTGTAACATGGGAATTACACTCATCATTACAGATGGAGAGTTGTTTGATAGCTTTTATCAAGTTCAAAATAGTCATCTCTCGTCTCTTCTTTATACTCAAGTGAGAGTGCTGAGAATATCTGGTCAGCCAGGGACAGAGGAGGGTGACCCATGGGAATGAAGGAGGGGCAGCCCAGGCCTGTTTTCAGATCCCCCTGGGGTTTCAGGGCTCTTTTCTTACCATGTTTGAACACTGAGAATTCTTAGTTCAAGTACCTGATATGCCAAATTCTGTTCTTGGCTGATTTGTTTAGAAACCTGTCTCTTGACATTACTCTCTGTTTTGGATAATGCACTGCTGGCTCAGTTTTCTTTGTAGTTAGACCACTAATAACATAGTGATGTCGACAGGGAAACGTAGGGAAGCACCGTGTCCGTCTTCTGGTTTCGGGACGTCAGGGATGGGCTGTGTGCCCGCCTGGTGGAAGCTTCAGGCCAAGTCCCAAAGGGGAGGAGCAAAACAGGAACAGCGCGAAGCTGTTGGATGAGAAAGGCCGATGGCCAGTAACTGCCTTACAGTCAAATGGACGCATTTTGAAAAATGCCCTGCTGGAAACCAATGTGGGCACTCTGGAAGAGCGTTCGCAGGGAGAAAGATTTGCTCCATAGAGGAGTCAGGAATGGCCTTTCTGAGGAAATGACATTTAAAATACAATCATGAAAGGGTCCTGTGAAAAAATGGAGTGGGAGGAGGGCACTGCAGGCCCGCCAGGCTGGGGCCATCCGCGATGGGAGACTGCCAGTGCCAAAAGCCCGGCTCCAAAACAAAGGTATTTTGAAAACTGATGTTATTTCAGGGGGACCAGTGGGTAATGACCAAGGGAAAGAAGCCATGGTAAGAAACGTTTTTATCCAAGTTCCATGAAGTGGTGTTTAAGAGATTTAAGCAGAAGAGGACCATGATCCAATTTATGTCTTAAAAAGATCCCTGTAGCCCTGGTGTGTCTAATAATTGGAAGAGATTAATTTAAGCTGAAAGAGGGCTGAGGAGTAGGGCTTTGTCCAGGCAGGAGACAACAGTGACCCACATGAGAATCTGTGATACCTGAACTGGAGATTATAAAGTAAAACAGCTTGGAAGTCAGCTGGGTAAAAATACAAGAGTTTGTATTTCATTCTTTTTCTACTTTTAAATATTTGGTACGTTGCCTTTTGCTAAGGTCATGGTTTCCTGACCTCTGAGTAAAGCATTACTGCCTGATTTTAACATCAAATGGGAAGGAATTCTGTTACCAAGCTAGAATGTTGAGATTATTTGTTGCAAATGCCCTTTGCTCTTATTAAAATAGTTCTAAATTCTTAGTCACTCATTCATACATTCAGCAAATTCTGAGTGACGCATAAGAGTAAAAAAGAAAAAGTTGCAGTTGTCTTATTTCCATGTAAACAACAAAAAAAAGTATTCTCCTAGAAAATACCATTGATTTGACACTGGGGGTTCCTCAACCGAATGGTTTTAGGATTTAATAAATACCTTTATTTATGTTCCTAAATTCTGTTTTTCTTTTCAGTTCTGATGGGTAATGTTGTGTAACAGGATACATTTCATCAGAATTTGAACGGGCTTGGAAAACGTTCAGTAATTGGCTCAACCCACACACTGTTTGTTCTTGTGTATTTTTTTTTTCAATAGAAAAAAGAGAAAGCCTCTGTCATGATACAGAACAATGCTTATGCAGTCGCCGTTGCAAATTATGCCCCAAATCTTTCAAAAGATCCAGTTCTCTCCACCATCTCCAAGAGCGCGACCACGCCAGAGCCCAACAAGAAGCCGGAAAACAAGCCCGCAGAAGCCAAGAAAACCTTCAACAGCGTCAGCAAAATTGACAGAATGTCTAGAATAGTTTTCCCGGTTTTGTTTGGTACATTTAATTTAGTTTACTGGGCTACATATTTAAACAGGGAACCTGTATTAGGGGTCAGTCCTTAAACCTAGGTCCAGATTATCTTTGGGATGTATAGCAACGTTGAATTTGGTTTGTTTTGCTATGTACAGTCCGACTAATAACTGCTAATTTGTGGCCCCACATGTACAGTATGTATATAATGATCCAGCTGACCCGTAGACCTTTCATGGAGACCTGCATTTGCTGACTCACGGAACTGCAGACAGAAAGCCTCCAGGCCCAAAGAGCCATTGCCTTTTTAAAAGATTTACCATAGAAACTAGTTTAATGTGTATTTAAGATGACCTGATTTTTTTTTTCCCCGTCCTTCAAATAGCAATGAGAATGGGCATCCTGACACCCATATGGGCCCTTTCAGTTAGGTCCAAAATAGGAGTCTTTCCTATTGCTGCCTAAAGCCGAGGGAAGGTGACGGACGTTGTCACTGAGTGATGAATTCTTCTAAATAGCAGAACGTCCTGTCTGCAGCGTCAGTTCCCTTCATAAGCACTCAGAGTCTCTGCTAGTGTAATTGGAAGCTTGGCACACCTAAGAGGAAAAACACGAGATTGGAAATCAGCTTTTAATTGCTCTGTATAGTGTCTGAAGCCATGTACATATGACAGCCATGACAACCTCCAATAATGAGTCACCCCGACAGGATGTTAATTACGCCTACAACTTAATAACTGTTGGAATGTCATGTTCCTTACCTTTTTAGCGTCAGAGTTTTTCTGAATGTAATAATTGAAATCCTACAATTTATTTCAATCATTGGGAAATACTTTAAGTTTTAAAAAAACGAAAAAGACAATAAACGTGTCTTACTCTTTCCAGGTTATGTGTCTCGTATTGAAGTTGATCGGCTAAATTTTCTTGGTGCTGGAGACTGAACAATGCATCCAGTTTGGCTTCTGTGGAGCAACACTCAAATTGGATTAGAAAATTGTGCCAAAAACTCCCCA